AACACCGCGGATGTCAACTGGTTAAAGGATAATTAAAGCCTGTGGGTTTTTTTTGCAGATATCTACTGCTAGCAAGCAGTAGATATATGTAAAATGTGTAAATAAAAAAAACCCCGCTTTGAAATGGGTTAATACTTACCTGTGTCTTCCCCGCGCGCTCCCGTCCGAAAATGTGAAAATTCTCGGGCGGCCGTAAAGCATCTTGGGGCGGGCGCATGCGATGGTCACCTTTTCGGCCGGGAAGCGAGAGACACAAGGTAAGTCTATTGACGCGTGCACCCGCGCGCAGACACCATGGGACAGGAAGTGCCAGCAAGCTCAGAGGAGTCAGCGCTGGATCGGAGACCCGCCGCAGCGCTGGAGGGACAGATGAAAAGGATAAGAAAGAAGATCGGATTAAGAAACATAATTTAAGGTAAGTGCTGACATTAACATTGGGCGGAGGGAAAAATATTTTGGACTTTAATGTCACTTTAACCCCTTCGTGACTGACGACGTACAGTGTACGTCGCCAGCATCGGGGCTGTTTAAACAGACTCCCGGCGACTTTTGCCGCCGTCATAAACTTGTTACAGGCATTAGGCCAGAAAATTCAGAATGTAACATGGGCAGGACCCGTGCCCACTAATGAACTACTGAAGAAAAAGATTTTATATTGAGTGTAAAAAAAATAAATATTTTTTTTCCTCAGCTTTCATTGTAAACCAAGCAGTGCCCAATAAAGGGGGGGGGGGTTAAACCTCAAAAGCAAACTCCAGATCCAGATGGTAACAAAGCTGCCTGCAAATCATTGCACCCAAAGCTGGCTTTAGGAGAAGCCAACACGTCCATTTTGTAGAAAGTAGTAAACCAAACACCAGGTGGCACACCTAGGAAGCAGAGACCTGGTGCCCAATAGTCTAAGATCTACCCACTGTTTTAGTGGAATGATCAGTGACTTGGATATGCCTGGAAAATAGCCAGACAAATCCCTTGATGCTGTGGAATCCTGAGGGAATGACAAATAGTACATCTGTTTATTGGTAGCAGTGTCATTCAGTATGAAACACAGTCTTCTTCTAATAGGAAAGAGAACCATAGGTTTCACGTCAGGTGACCAACTTATCAGCCAGACGTTCACATCCGCACTGACAGTCGTAGCACACATGCGCAGTGTGCATTCTCAAGTGGTTGCGGACGCACACGGGAGCGTGCACGCAAGTTGGAGCCTCATGCATGCTATCGATGATCGTGCTCTAGTGTGCGCATGCGCTGTAAGGACGGAAGTGAGTGTGACACAAGCACTGTAAAGGCCGGGTTTTTTGTTGCGTTGGGAATGGCCGCTGCAATGGATGTGGATGTTCCAAGTGGAGCTAATAGCAGTGCTGGGAAAAAGCGGTTTGAGGTGAAAAAGGTGAGTAAACGTTTAGTTCTGGTGTTGACGTCATAAAACCTCGCCTACTGATACCGATGTGTGGTACACAAGTAGTATGTCACAGCCCGGTGTTTAACACTGTTCGTGGATGTGTAATATGTCTTGTAGATTGTTGCTGTAGACGAAGATCAGGTTAAGGAAGACATTGTGAACTACTGTAAATAGTCTGGATTTTTGCAATTCTTTCCTAAAGCCCTGTTTGTGAATACGATAGTATTTAAAACAAACTTGTGATTTTCTACTTAAGTGCAAAGCAGCAGGTTTGCGTCAATTCCACCCTTATCCATTTACATTCTTTGCTTCGTTCAGGGGGACCTGTAGGGAATAGCCGGTACTTCTGGGTATGGCGGAGCATGTGACGTACTGTGTGCTGGGATAGTCTACACTGGCACACAGGGAGTAAACGTGTAACCAGTACTTCTGGGTATGGCGGAGCATGTGATGTACCGTGTGCTGGGATAGTCTACACTGGCACACAGGGAGTAAATGTGTAACCAGTACTTCTGGGTATGGCGGAGCATGTGACGTATTGTGTGCTGGGATAGTCAAAGCTGGCACACAGGGAGTAAACGTGTAGTTTTTCTCCTCTGAATGTAGAGGCGCGTGAGGTCTGCATTAGGCCTCATGCACACAGGCCGCTTGCGTTAAACACAGCAGAAGTTAGTTGGGACATATTAACTTTTATGCTTCCCAGACTGTTTTTGTGTGTTTACATTAGAGCTGCAGCTAACGATTATTTTCAAAATCGATTAGTTAGCCGATTATTAAGTTCGATTAATCGGTTAAACAATAAAATTTTAAAAAATGGCTCCAGTGATAGGACTACTAGTTTGTATTGAGGTTGTAGTCCATCACAGGAGCAAGCTTGGAGCGGTGGAAGTAAAAAAGAAAAAAAGATAGTGTGGTGTGCAATATAGTGAAATGGAAAGTGTAAAATTATACAGCAATGAATGCAGAATGGCACCGGCTATAGAGGACTACAAAACCCAGCAAAAGCACATTATACAGCGCAATGCAGAATACCGCCAGCTATAGACGAATACAACAAATACCAGCAATAGTACATAATAGCTGGCGGCATTCTGCATTGCGCTGTATAATGTACTATTGCTGGGTTTTGTAGTCCTCTATAGCTGGTGGTATTTAGCATTGTACCACTTTATAATGTACTATTGCTGGGATTTGTTGTAGACCTCTATAGCTGGTGGTATTCCGCATTGCGCTGTATAATGTATTATTGCTGGGACTTGTAGTCCTCTATACAGCGCAATGCAGAATATCACCAGCTATAGAGGAGTACAACAAATCCCAACAATACTTAATACAGGTGAAACTCGAATAATTAGAATATCGTGCAAAAGTAATTGCAGTAAGTTCTGCAAAAGGGGCCCAAACCAATTACTGAGTACATATGCATGCTTGTACTTCTCAGAGGTCCGATATTGTTCTATGTACAATCCTTGTTTTATTGATTGCATGTAATAATCCACTTTTTTGAGGTTGTGGATTTGGGGTTCTTGGGGTTTTCATGAGCTGTAAGCCATAATCATCACAATTATGACAAATCACGGCTTG